TAGTGAGAAATAATGAGGTTATAAGAGAGAAACAATGCGGCAAGACGTGCATCCAAATGAGAGAGAGAGAGACCGCGAAGCTAGACGTTTCTTCTTATATTAACTAACGTACTCTACGAATAGCTCGGTGAATAATAAAAAAAAAAAAAACATAGACCCGGCTAGAACAAGCGGAGTGATACAAAATTGTGAAAGGGCGTTCCTGTAGCGATACCAGTACAATATCTCATGGTTCTCAACCAATCAGATTTGAGAACCAGAACGAACTGTTGTATAAAACTGTATACATTTCACTGAATGAATGCACTCCTGGTACTTTTGGGGACATAGTACGGGACTGTCATGCAGAATAAAAGCCTCTCAAAGACCAAAGAGTGCTCTCCCAGCACAGAGGGACAAATTCTTAAAGGAACAAACAGTTAAATAAACATTGAAGAATTGTCAGGCCCTCGGTTCCCAGACTAAAGATAACTATCCTGCAGTACAGGACAAAAAAAATAAATATAAAAAAAAAATAGCCAGATAATTTATTTCATGCTTTATTTCATAGTTTTCATTAAATGTAAAACATTTGGTACATTGAGACACCTGCTTACAAATTGATTATTTAAACCTTGGTGTAAATGTGTCATGTGTCATATAGCATGTAGCCAAGTGAACTATTGTTTTCTGTACTCCCAGGTCCCACCCTGTTAAAGGGGTCATATGATGCTGCTAAAAAGAACATTATTTTGTGTATTTGGTGTAATGAAATGTGTTTATTCTTTATGCACCAAGAGCTTGTAACACTCCAAAGAGAAACGAAAAATTGAAATCGCATCATATGACCCCTTTAAGAAAAATAGGCTGGCTCATAATTAAATTTGCTTCTTTAGGGACTGTCAACGACCATGGCACATGAGTGAACCTTTGCTATATCGTTTTCTTTTCTGAAAATTGGAGCTTGATGAAAGTGGTGGAGAACGTGCTATTAATTTGAAGGGTATGTAGAGACCCTCTACTGGGAAATAGAAATCTTCTTTAGGAAATCTAATCTTCTAGAAGCGGTTCGGGACAGCCTTTTCAAACATAAGGGTTGTGTATGGATTAGCATGAGGCTGTTTACAGTGGGTACGGAAAGTATTCAGACCCCCTTAAATTTTTCACTCTGTTATATTGCAGCCATTTGAGCTTCCTTCATCCTTGCAATTAATTAACAACAGGTACTTGACTCTGAAATGGAGACGTTTTGTGAGCTAAAGTCCTCTTCCAAATGCCTCATCAGTCTGTGAAGAGAAGGCAGTAATCACAGTGTCTTATGTGAGGAGATCTGGTGCATATTAATGGAGGGTACGTCTACAGAGGGAGATTCCTAGGTTCACTCTGGATTATATTGTTATTTTCAGGGCCATTAAAATGCTACGCTTCAATGATGTACTGTAATTAGTCTTTTCAGTGCTTTTTTTCCTATAAGGGATTTTGTCTGTATGTCATATGGTTTGGCATTAGAAACCATTTAGAAAACTACAGCAAATTGTATCAATTAAAATTTAACCATTCACTCCATGTGTTTCATATGTTACCTCAACTAAGATTTATTATTTGGGCATCATAAGAAATTGCTGTGGAACTAGTTATTATATTTTATATTGAGTTTAAGAAAAGTATTACCTGGTGTCTATCAATCACTAAAACACACACATTACAACACATAATAGCCTTTATTTAATAACAATCTGCATTTATAACATTTGTCATACAGACTAAACATGCAGGCTTAAAGGGATAGTTCACCCAAAAATGAAAATTTGCTGTTAATTGACTCACCCTCAAGCCATCCAAGATGTAGTTAACTTTTCTTCTTCAATTGAACAGTAAAGGAAATTTTTAGGTGAAAACATTGTCTTTGAAAACATTGCAATTCATAAACTGCACGTTTCTGGCTGCCGGCTTTTGAGAGTCAAATAAAAATATACAGACAAGACCAAATTACCAAACGCTCCTGAGGACACATTGAGGCCTTATGAAGCTAAACAATCAAAAACCGGCAGCCACAGACGTGCATTGTATGCATAGCCAAGGATCACGGTTTCAGATTAAAATCTTCTTTACTGTTCTACTGAAGAAAAAAAGTCACTGACATCTGGGATGGCCTGAGGGTCAATAAAATAACAGCAAATTTC